CGGTGGCCCGTGGCCTGTGGCCTGTGGCCCGTGGCCCGTGGCAGCCAGCACATAGCACAAACACGGGCTCCCTACACTGTGGATGGTCCTATCCCTATCCATCCGCATCTCCCCTCTTACCCTCCTCCCATCTGTGGACTTAAGAGCGAGGCCTGCATTTCTCCCCCTTTATGTGTTTTAAGTAATTGCAGAAACCTCCTTCTGGAAGCTGAAAAAGGAAACATGTTGTCTACCCATCTCAGAGGCTTCCCATTCTGTTAGAAAAAGCATTTAAGTTTTTTTTTAAACCTTGCCACTGGGTGTTCTCAGTAAATGTTCTGAGTTAGTGGGTTGCGTGTGTTTTAGCCTTCTGGCTGTGTTTGTTTATCCATGCATGTTTGCTTTTTTTGGCCTTTTTTTTTTTTTTTTTTTTTGTGGCTCTGTATTTTAGTCCATGTGCTCGTGGCTGTGCCCATTTAACCTGCCTGGTAGCCACGTGTTACATATTAAGTCGGTGTGTCACTGTCACCTTCAAGGATCAGACTGCAAAGGATAAGGCCCTGCAGCACATGGCGGCCATGTCTTCAGCACAGATCGTCTCAGCCACTGCCATTCACAACAAGCTGGGGCTGCCCGGGATTCCACGCCCAACCTTCCCAGGGGCGCCGGGGGTAAGTCCTGAATCAGATCCAGTCATGATGGCCACTGCGGCCACGGGGTTGACATGAGCAAGCACTCGACCTTCCACCTGGCCCCGCTTGTTAATTGATGCTGGGTGCAGAGTAGTGAAAGAAGGAAGGGAAGGGAAGCAGAGTGCTAGAGGGGTGTGGGGGAGGTGAGGGAAGGAGGAAGACTAGAAGAGAAGAAGAGATGGGGGGAAGGAGGGGATAACGAGAAGGAAGAAGACAAGGCAGGAGAGAAAAGAGAAAGAAGAAGGAATCATTTGTCCCTGGAAACATGGAATTAATTAATCACTTCTGGGTTGTGATCTGCATCTTCTGCTCTGTATTTTTTTGGTGGCCCTTGGTATCTGTTCTTGTGTCTTCAAGGTCAATGTAAGGCATTGAGCCCCTAAAGAGGACAAACTACTGGGACACTTATCAATCAATCTCATTCGATTTCCCTAGTAACCTTAAATGCCTCTTACTGTTACTGCATTTTACAGATGAGAAAGTTGAGGTTACTTGGCAGCAAACAAGATTGGGCACCTTGATCATAATCCGATGGAGAGTGATACCGTGATGTTAGGATTCGACCCCAGGGTTGCGGGACTTCAGAGCCTGCGTTTTTCTCTTTATGTCCTGTTGCCCCTCCAGCAGGGCAGTGGCAGGCAGAAGTACCTCAGGGAAGCTCTCAGCAAAGGGGGTGCCTGCTTCTTAGGGCTCCCGAGCTTTGTCCTCTGTCCCTAGGAGCCTTCAGGCTGTGAGCCATGGAGGGCAGAATATTATGCAGGGAGTGCTTCAGAACTGAGGGAGGAAGAAGAAGATGGGGGTACACATTGAGCATCCAGTCATAGTATTTGTGAACCCCTGCAGCAGACAGACCCAGGTCTCTGTCAGGTCTATCAAGAACCTTGAGGGGCTGCTGACTGGTCCATGCCCTTTGAGGGTTTTCGGGAAACAGGAGCAAAGGGGAGTGTGGGTTGCCAGGCCAAGCACACAGCTTGTGATCTTGTGCACAGTGGGGACCCCGTCTACACTGGGGGAGGGTGATAGTGCAGCTAGCTGGTGGGCACCAGAACCCACTGTCCTTCAGCAGGGCCGCCAGCTCACATCCGGAGCCGTGCGCTGAAGTGAAATAACCCTGAAGCCTTTGCCTTTTGCCTTCCAGTTCTGGCCGGGAATGATACAGACAGGGCAGCCAGGATCCTCACAAGAGTAAGTCTGAGGAGGGGCTGGCTCTGACAGCAAGGGGCTGGTGACAGCCCACCCTGGGAAAAGTTCCCCGCCCTGTGTCAGGGCTTAAAGGAGGGCTAAAATGGGCGCTTGAAGTTATCCCCCGTGTCTACTGAGGCCAAGGCAGGAAAGAGACTGACCTCTCAGATGAGGGAGAGCTGGAGCTCTCATTCCCACTTGATGTATTAGTGGCCATCCAGCTAGAAGAAATGGGAAGTGAGTCCCGGCTCCCTTCATGACTGGAGGGCAGAGCCCGGGGTCTTGTCGTCCTTGCCTGAGAGAGGGTGGCCGACAAGGTCCTATAGCCCAGTCCTGTCTGATTTTCCCTGTGAATGCGGGCCGATTTTTTAACAGAAAATCTTGCTGGCCTCGGGAGTCAGGGAGGCAGGCAGGAAAAAGGAGGGGTCTTCAAGAAGTTTACGGGAAATGCATATCAGTGAAAAACTATGTGTGGATTTCTAATTGGGGGGGGAGCACCGAAATAAACTCATACTTCAATCCTATTTTTTTCACGAACTTTTTGAAGTCCCCTTGTACTTCTGTATTGTCCAAAACCTTGAACGGTCTGACCTGTAGAATAGAAGTCTCAAGTGTGCCCTGGGCCTTGCCTGGTAGTGGCGACCACTGACTTTGGTCCTTGCCATTGAAAAGCGGCTCACAGGTGGATGTCACCGTACAGGGAAGTCAGGCTGGTGTCTGTCCAGCTTGCCCCACTTCCCTGGCATGAGGCTTGGTGCTTTGATGCCCTCACCCAGCTGGCCTCTGTCCATGGGAGATTGCTGCCACCTTGGTCCCAACTGGGTGCTGCCTAGAATGTACTGCCCCCTGCAGGCGGGGTGGGGGCGTGGGGCTCTGCCCTGGGAGGCCGAGGCCAGCTGGTGCCATCACAGTCTTACCCTTGCCACCCCTCTGTCCCCAGCGTCAAGCCTTTTGTGCAACAGGCCTACCCCATCCAGCCAGCGGTCACAGCCCCCATTCCAGGTGAGTCTCCCTGGGATGCCCTTTGGGGAATGGGTCCTATGCAGCTGACCCTGAGAGTGTGGCGGTGCCTGTCTGCCACAGTTTGCACTCCATCACTTGCAAATGTATGGGTGTCCCCTTAAAGCAAGGATTAGCCTAGAGCTCAGGAGGGTCAGGGAGAGTCCCCTCAGGTTCTCTTTCCCTCAGTCACCTCCTAAGAGGTCTTTAGATGGGTGTTTAAAGAAACAGGAAGTCTTACCACTTTCGCTTAGGATGACACTGGATCACCCGTAGAAGGGGAAGTTATTGTGGCCCCTCCCTTCCCGTAAACTGGCTTCCTTGGGCAATCTAAGTCTTGAGGGCAGGTAGTCTGGTTTGCCCTTTCTTCGATAAATAAATAGCAATTCTTAGTACTCTTTCTTTGAAGTAGAGCTTGCATGGAAGTGTAGAAGTGCACAGTAGAAAACACACATCTGGCCAGCCTGCCTGTCTCTGTCCCCACCAAATGTACCCTGGCCACCCCCTACATACACAGAGTTAGCTCAGTCGCACTGCTCAGGGTGTAGTGTAAAATTACTGCTCTCTGTCACGGATGTCCCTAGCTGAAAATCATACCCGTGTTGCCCTCTGCTCCAATACTGTGTCTGAGAGAAGGTTCTATGGTGCTGGCGACCACAGTCGTAAGAGGGGCTAGACAGGCGAGAAGTTCAGGCACATCGTTCTCATAGGTAGTCTTCCGAAGCCTTCGCCTTGGACTCCTCATGGTTCCTGGCATGGTCCCCAGCTCAGCCCCTTATCCAGGATCATGCCACAGCCCTTACCCATAGCTGAAACTGGCTTCCTGAGGAGCATGCGGCCTGGCACTGTGTCTGGGGCCCACGCCAGAATCCCACCACTGCCTCAGTGAGGCCCTCCCAGCAGAGAGGGGGCTGTTGGCTTGCCCTTCTACACTGTGCATTTGGTAGAGCCTTGCCCCGGTGTTGGCCTGAGGTTTTGCAAATGGTCAGGTTTAAAGGTGCCCATTGGTTTTTCAGGGTTCGAGCCTGCATCAGCCCCAGCTCCCTCAGTCCCTGCCTGGCAGGGCCGCTCTATTGGCACAACCAAGCTTCGCCTGGTGGAGTTTTCAGCTTTTCTTGAACAGCAGCGAGACCCAGACTCGGTGAGTGCACTCAGAGAGGTGTGTCAGACTCAGAACTCGCTTCTACTCCTGCCCACTTCTCATTCTGCTCTTTGTCTTTTCCCTTCCCCTACCCTCATGCCCGACAGGTGCACTGCGCAGAAACAAACCTGGGGCGGGGGAGCCGTGCAGCCTTCTGAGCAAATATAAAGTGCTCCTCTCAGAGGTGTAGACCTGCAGTACTGGATATTTGTTGGTGCTCTGAGCTGGAAGTGGGGTCTTTGATTGGTTCTTGGGTTTGATAAAATGTAACAGAAACAGTTACTGAGCCTCACTGTTCCTGTTTAGATGTTCAGTCACTTTGTATTCTCATAAAAACCCTATGAGAGGGTGGGGACTGACTCTTAGAAGAAGAAACAGAAAAGTTAAGTAACTTCCTCCAGGTCACACAGTTAACAGCCAGTGAGTTCACATGTAGAACCTCATCTTTAAAACGCCAAAGCCTGACCTTCCAGCCATTGCTTTATACTGACTTTCTAACCTGTGCTTTCTTGAGATAACAAGTAGTGATCTTCTTACGAAAAACTAACAAAGCGATTTTTAACCATTTAACGCAGAATGTGCTGCATTCTGTTTGACACACAGACCAGTAATGTTGGCATCTGTGCCCTGTTTGTCGTTTTCTTCTCTTCCGTCTCCCCCCGGCCTCTCTTGTATTGTCATCCCACAGTTCCTCAGCCAGGCCCATCACTTCCCATACATATGTGACTTCCCTCGTTCCCACCCAGCAGGCTCGGGCCCTTTCTTCCCACCCACTCCTTGGCTGTGAGTATGAACATTGCATCTGTGTGTGGGTGAGCTCAAGGCAGAAGCCGAAGGAGTCATGAGTCTGTCTTCAGGATTCTCACCAGCTCCTGTCCATATTCTCTGTGTCATCCCATCCCACCCGTGCTGGGCCACCAAAAGCACAGAGTTCCCATGCTGTCTGCACGTTGGGGCCTTGCAGTCGTTCTCTTATCAGGAAAGCGTCGCAAACGCGTGTGCTGTCTGCAGTAGCTAACTGCCATGCTGACCCCCCTCCCTCAGGAGTGTGTGTGCTCGATCTCAGTGGGGAGCCTCCCGAGGAGGTGCTCTGGACCAGCTGTTACCAGGGAGGAGACCTGGGGACCCACATGTGGCCCACCGACATTCCTACCCTTGAACTGTGAACTCTGCAAGCGGGCAGTAAAAACAGAGCTGCTTCTGAGTTAGGAGGAAGAAGTGTGGCCGTCATTGAGCCTGTGAGGGCTGGTTCAGGAAAGCGAGGCTGTGGGAATCAGTAGAAGGCCGGAGAGACCTCTCTTCTCATAGCCGAGGAGGGGATGTGATGGGCTAATAGCCGTGGGAATTTGGGGAACACTAAGAGGAGCCCCAAGATTATCTCCATGGTTCTATGCTTCTCAGTCTTTTTGCGATATACACCTGGTTCTTTGGTGAAGGCTGGACTTCGGCCCAGATAATGCCTCCGCCTCCCTTAGCTTTGTCTGTCTAAACACCTCCTAGTTTCCAGAGTACTGTGTTGCTTCATTCCGTCCTCATGGTGCCCCATCGGGTTCTGAGTTCTCCACTACACGGATGATGAAACTGAGGCCAGGCAGAAATGACCCACACAGGATAGTTAGCCAGCGTGCGAGGAACCAGGAGCCCAGATCTTCTACTCCAGAATACTCTTTTCAGTGCTATGAAACACGACCTCGGAGTTTGGAAGCTCTCTCAAATTGTGTATTCGTTGTGCCTATCTCCTGGGTGAGCAAATCTCACCCTTTGCGTACGGTTTTGTTTTTTTTAGGAACAGAACTCCCAAGGCACTGGGAACAAAATCCCCAAGATGATGTTTGTTTCTCTGGTTAGGAGATTATGGAATATTGTATCATAATTTAAAATTTTTTTTTTTTTTTAATTAAAACACTCTGTGATAGTCCCCTCACTAAGCTTCTGTGCTTTCCAGTTATGGCCATGTTAGGGCCCAGCATACTGAATTCCCTGTTTTGGTTCTTGTATTGGTGAGACTTAACACTGTGGGTCACTGTTTCATTCAGTCCATTCTGTGAACATGATGTGCGTCTGCATGTGTGAGGAGTCGCACTGATGCTGTAGCCAGACAGCCCCAGCTTCTGCCCTGGTGGGATCACATCCGGTAGGGTGTGCGCACGGGCAGAAAGGGAGCAGATCATTACCTGAGAGATCACTGCAAAATATGATGACCACTAGGAAGGACCAACACTGACTGCTGGAGGGAGGAACACTGAATGCTGGGCGCGGCAGGGAAGCAACGGAACAGGGCAGGCTTTCATGAAGTACCCCCTTAACCTGAGAGATGGAAGAGGGAGCAGGGGAAAAGCAAGGGAGACAGACAATCCAAGGTGATGACCCCTTGTCAAGAAAGCAGCCTATGATACTGGTGGATTTTAGTAAGACTGGGGCCTGCCGAGTCCCCAGAGTGAAGTCCAGAGACCCGTGTTTCATGTACAATCAGGATTCCATGTAAGAACCTGAATGATTCAGCTGGATCTGGCCCTTTCCTGTTGGGTAGAAATGCTGGGCTAGGGATCGACCACCATCATGAATGACACAGTAACTGTCCGTAGCAGGAAGTGCATGAACATCCGACTACCTCAGAGGAAACAAGTGTTAGTTGCTGTCCTTCACCCCAGGAAGACAACAGTACCTAAGACAGAAATTCAGGAAAAACCAGTGAAAATGTACAAGATCACACCATATGTCATCTTTGTGTTTGGGTTCAGAACCCATTTTGCTGGTGGCAAGACAACTGGCTTTGGCATTTTCTTTGGATTATACAAGAAAAATGAACCCAAACCTAGACTTGCAAGACATGGCCTATATGAGAAGAAAAAGATGTCAAGAAAACAGTGAAAGAAATGCAAGAACAGAATGGAGAAAGTCAGGGGGACTGCAAAGGCCAGTGTTGGCAAAAAGTGAGCTGGAGGGAACCAGCAGTTAGCGTAATGGCTATATCTCTGGACTCCCATGTAGTCGACCGCGGTTCAAGTCCCGGACTCGGTGGCTTAAAACTCATGCCGGGCGTGCGTGCGTGCCCAAGATCCTGAGAGGAAAATGGAGGAGAAGGGATTGCGGTGTGACCATCCCCTCTGGGGGGTGATTTCTCACTTTCTGTCTCTGTCTCTGTCTCTGTCTCTGTCTGTCTGTCTGGCGAGCACACGCGCCCTATAGCAAAAACCTCTCCAAAAAAAAAAAGTGAGCTGGAGATTGGAGGACAGTTGAAGGAGTAAAAGTTGTGCAAAGACTGTCGGTGGTGATTGTGCGCATTTTTCATGAGAGGATTAATAAACGAAATTTTCATGTGGGGAAAATAAAGCTGGGCTGTATATTAGGTTATTGGGAAAATCATGACACATTTTGCATAGAAAAAGTAGAAAATACATCATGGCTTTTCCAACAACCTAATAGACTCAACACCAGCATGTGGCTTCGAAGGTCCTGAAATAAATGGAGTCAACACCCTTGAGTCCAATGAGAAAATCTGGTGTTTGAGGGGATATGAGTTGAGAACTGGGAGAGACTGGAATTCATTCTCAGGTACTTTTGGAACACCTGCTACGTGCCAACTGCTGTTTCAGGTGTTTGAGATGCAGCAGTGAAGGAAATACCCTGGTTCTCGAGTGTCTACACTGCCGTGAAGACAGATACAAACTACCCAGAGGCAGTGTGTCAGGGACCACCAGGTGCTAATGAGGAGTAGCCGGAAGCTACCCCCTCTGTAGATTAAAAACGTGTAATTCAGGGCCGGCCTCTTGGCCTTAATGGTTAAGGGAGCCAGATCCTACAGGGTCAACTGGACAGTTCAAATTCCAGTCCCTACTATTTGAAAACCACGTCTGGCATGTGTGTGTGCATGCCCAAAATTCCAAAGGAATGGAGAAACAGGAGAAGGGAATTGCGTGTGACTATACCCATTGAAGGGTGCTTTCCCCTGTCTCTCTAGTGAGTGTATAGACTTTCTGGAAAGTTTTTAATGTCTAATTTCAGAAAATAACACCCTCTAATATATGCTGATTTTTCTGGCTTATGTTATATTAAATGATATATATTATATATTGACAACTAAAGCTATATCACTGTTGTAAAATTGTTTTGCTGTAACTTCAGTCTCAATGATGTTGCTTCTGACATTCCTATATTAGGAACATTCTTTCTGCAATTAAATGCAGGTGACTTTAGTGTATATATGAATACATGACAGATTGCGAAGTCCGTATGCATTCGATTTTAGCGGAGACGCGAGGGTCTGAGGATGCATAGTTCTGTGCTAGAGGGATCAAAAGGTGACTAATTAAAATGGGGGAGTACTAACAAGATTATTTAAAACATTTGACAATGTCACACGCACCAGCCTCTTAAATAATCTCATGTGGACTTTTTGGGGGGCAAACAGGTGCTAATATAATAAAGGTGTAATAGTACTTTGAGACTAAAGTTACCCAGAAAAATTCATAATATTCTTTTATTATTATTATTAAACTATCTAAAATAAATTTAACTGCTACATTTTAACAAATCTGAATATATGGTACTTAAATTTTAGCCTCAACCATTAAGCATGTTAATTTGCTCAGAAAGCCCACAATGATCAGAAGGCCCTAAAGAAATTAAACTTTGCAATTGGACTCTTCACATCTCTGCCGCATATAAATGTACACAAAGATTTTCCTCTGTTTTGTGATGGCTGAGCTCTTTGGAATCATAGGGTTTTAAGATATTTTTAGTAGAAGAGAACTTATAGGCAATGATGATGAAACCAAATTAAGTAGCCAGGTGCAGTGCTATTTTTCATTAGTGATTTCTACCCATTGTCCATTTTTACTATAATCCTTTGAGGTAGGTAGGTGGTTCTCTTCCCTCGATAGAAGATGTTTGGAGAGATTGCTTTCTTACAGGTAGTGGCTGTAGCCAGCTTTGAACCCTAGTCTGTCCGCGCCACCTCCCAAGAAGAGATAAGACATGACTACACACTTTAGTAACCA